GCCCCCGCCCCAAAGCCCGGCGCCTTCCGCTGGCTGCGCCGCTCATCAGCCGCACGACGCGTCACCGTCCACCGGCGAGGATTGGCACGGTAGCACTTAGGGCTGCCGCCGCACAAACAGGTTTCACGCTGAAAGGTCCTCGAGACAGTGGAAGGCTGATTGACGCTCCCGCCTGGCTGTGCGTTTCTTTCTTTTTATCCCCCACCCGCAATTTAAGGCCATTACAATTAGAGTCTGAGGGACCAGTGCTTTTGCCAGGGTGATTTAACAAGACCTCTGGCCAAGAACCTTTCACACGTTTTCGCTTCACAGAAGCTCTTGATTCTCGTGACGTTGAGCTTGCCGAGCAGGTTTCCCCACCCCACAAGCTGTTTACCGTGAACTTCCTGCAGAGATTGCTGACAGAAATGGAACTAAACCAAAAATACCTGGAGGATGAGGAGTTTTGGGCAGCAGTGCTTGTCACATGGAATGGATGAGGTCCTCTTCTTTTAGCGCCATGGACTACAGTTGCATTTTACAGGTCACTGATGCACAACCACTGCGTTTTTAACCTGCTTTCTATACGCACACCACTCATCCAAAGCACCAGTCTAGTGGATCCTCCCTCCCCACACGGCTCACATAACTCGTGAGCCTGAGTTGATTTCTAAAGTCAAACCATCAGTCCACATGCTGCCACCAGAACAGTTAGTGAGGAGACAGAGGTACATGCAGGAAGAGTGAGAATGCACATCTTACACTTCAAGTAGGAGAAATTATCGAGAAATCAGATGACTCCAATGGTCACAGAAAACTGCTTAGAGCTGACTGCTACAAGAGAGGCTGGACGAACCAGAGACACCTATTGAGTAGCATTCACATATCTCCCTCGCATCTCAGTATACAACGTTCTCCACTTTCTGGAACTACTAGCTCAGAATTCACTATGAAAAAAGACAAAGCAAACAGAACACCAGATTTAAGATACTTTTATTTTAGTGTTCCACGAAACCAAAGGTCATTTAAAAACAAGTACGTACCCAGGCTAAAAGCAGACAGTACAAACAGGAAAAGATACATTAAGATCCTTCAATGATAAAACAATACACTCTATTCTCAAGCCTCAAAGTCACTACCTACGAGGTTAAGCACCTTGTTTGACATAAAATGCCAAGCCCCTTACGCCAAAGAAAGGCTTTAAATAGTATTGCCAATAAAAGATTGAGGTACAAGATTTGTGCAACGTTTTCACAGCTACCGAAGTAAAAGTGTGGCTTGTACAGGATTGTAACCTTGCAGCAGTGCTCCTGCTGTTCAGTGCGAGACTCAACGCCTGTGACCACAGGAGAAAACAACCCAGGGAGCAAAAGCCAGAGGACTTGGGGTCCACATTACTGGACAAAGTCATAACTGGCAAAAAGGCTACCAAGAAAGGATATTTTAAAGCTTCATCTTTAAGAAGATTGTTATTAGCACATATTTTGTGCACGTGTGTGTGTGACTTCAAGATACGCACTCTTGCCAACAGGAACGCACCTTATCAGTTGTGTAAGTTTCATAAAATCCTTACTCCAAAAGCATTATACATAGTATTGCAATGACTTCAGCAGCTGAAGGCAAAGTAGTACCCATATTATTTTAAAATAAGGCCAGTAAAAAGTAAGAGTTAAGTCTTGCTTAACATGTGTCCAGTTATGACCACAGATAATACCATTTTTGATTTCAAACCGTTAAGCCATCGTTCAAAGGCACTACTGGTTTCTCTGATTCTCTGAACCAGAGAGTCAGAAAGCTGTGGAATAAAGTCTAGAACACAGGTTATCAGTGAGGTATAGGCAACCAGTTCTTTCCAGAGATCCACTGAGGCACAAGGAGGAAACTGAAATTAATGTTTCAACATTAATTCCAAAATTAATGTTGAAATTAAATGTTTCCTCATTGCTTCAAGGCACAAGAAGCAGCAGTAGTTTTCAGTAATGCCAACTAGGACCGTTCAAAATTTAAACCACCAGCCAAGAGCTGAAGATGCTGCTAAAAACTTCTGCATTTCAGACCCTTCATTCACAGAAGAGGGTACAGAAAAAAAATTAAGCTACCCCTTCATTGAAGACCTCTGCTTAAATAAAAATTCAGCATTTGTCTGTATTAAGTACCTGAAGTCTCAGAAGACTCTTACTGCTTAAAGCAATAGGCTTATTTCAACTCTAGCTTCCCTCGAAGGAGGGCTGCATCAGAAAAAGTTCAACTGCTATGCCATACTTTGGTAATTAGCCAGTTTACAGTAACAAATGCAATTAACGGCATTTTTGTATTTTCCAAAGAATGTATACATCTCTAGGCAAATATATTAAACTACTCTTCACTACAAAAATACAGTATTTGAGAAGCTTCCAGTAGTTTTCAGTGTTTTATGAAAATATCATACAGACTACTAACAAGTCAGTAGCCAATCCAGCCATTATTATCCGTCATTAAAGTGCTCTGCTGTAGGAATATTTTGTTAGAAGCTCACCCCTTTGGAAATAGAGAGGCTGGCCCTAAGTCGGGAGTGACTTAATCGACCCTTTCCACTTCAGAAGGTAGGAAGATTTGTTTTGGTTCTCTGCTACCCACTCTTTCAATATTTTGACTTCCTTCCAAAACACTTCCTGGTATTACATCACAGACCCTCGCAACCCTGATAAACCCAAGAGCTGCAAAGATGCACCTGACTTGTCGATCTTTGACAAGAGCTTGCCACAAAAAAGTCATGGTTAGTTTTCAGTGAAAGAAGCCTGCTGCAGTGACTGCTCCATAGCGTTATGCTGTTATTTTCTGTCCGATGACACGGGGAGGAGAATGTACCTGTCCTCTATGAAACTGCAAACAGGCCACAAATTAAGGAAGCAGACAGAAGTATCTGATTGTCTTGCAAAACCTACACACTTTCTCAGCTACATACAATTTTCATCTCATTCTGAACTTCAAACCATGAAGAAAACCAAATCAGATTTGAGAGTTAGCATTTTGACTCCCATACCAAAGCGAGGGTGAATTGGTTCCTGTCTTAGAGGTATAAGGAATGTATGAAAGAAATCATTCTAAGACTGATCACCTTTGAAAGCTGTTCCAAGGTAAGCCCCAGTCCCAAAATCCAAGGTATTTAGAATTAATAAACCGCAATGGTATAGTATCGTAATTGTCGCAGAACTTTCATAGAGACAGGCCAAACACATGTGCTGCAAAGTCCATACCTATTAAGAATACAGAACAGAAACCAGGTGTACCTTTGCCTCCCTTGTTTGAACAACCTTCAAAGCAGGAATTTGATGACTATGAAAGAACAGCCAATTTACACCTTTGGCCCAAATTCACTAGTATTTCTTGGAGAACACCCTTGAAACTATTTAATTTATGACAGTAATTTAGCTTTGCTTCTTCCTTTCCAAGCTAAGAGTTAACTTGCATTCAACTTTTAGGGCATTAACTGGTTTTAAAATACAACCCAAGCAGCCTTATTCTGAAGCATAACTCTTTGGACTTCTCCAGTGTAGTTATTCAAAGCAAAGCAAATCCTCAAGCTCTACTGTACAAGGTTTTATATTGCACTAAAAAAAAAAAAAGAATAACTGATCTGTCAAAGTTGCTAAGAAACAAAACCATGGTTAGAAAAAAACAAAAAATATTCGTAAAGGATCATCAGTGCCTTGCTGGCAGGCAAAACTTATCAAAAAACCCTTCATCCCTGACATCACAATCATCCTGCGGATTCAATTCCTTAACAAATCTTCCCCAATAATGAAGAGATACCAAAAAATAAATATGAGAAATTGACTCCATTTCTGGATTCCATATATAAGACCTGATGTAACTACGAATCAACCTGATGGTTGCTCAACTCAGAAACAGGAAAGAGGTCATTTCCTGTGGGCAGCATACCAGTACCACCTACTTGACATTGTCTCCTTATTAATCAAAGGCCACTTGCGGGAATTCAGTCCTTTGTTCAAAGTCCAGAGAACTTTTATATCTTTCCAGCTTTTTTATTTCCAGAAGTTGAAACACGAAGAATGTTTGGGGTTTCTTCCATGACCCTAACAAGCAAGTTATCGATGTAGTCTTCAAGCTCACGCACCTGGAGTTCTTTCTTGGTAATTGTATCCTTCTGTTTCAAGACCAGCTGAATCAGCTCATCGTGCGTTAACTGAGCATAAGCATGGCCAGGATCCGAAGGATCATATTTCTTCAAGAGAGAAGATAAATATTTAACTTGCGTTTTCTTCTTTTCTGCTTATGCAGAAAGAGGCACTACAGCTATCTTGGTACTACTTCCCCCCACCCCTCACCCCCCAAGAAACCCTTAGAGACAATCACGAAACCCAGTGTTTTTCTCTGCTGACCCAGAGGTGCTCCTGTGCAGTTCAGATCAATACGAGTTTTAAGCTAGGACTCAAGCCTTGTGGTGCAACTGAAACCACGATTCACTTTACAGATCTCTTTTGGGATAAAGATTGTGAAAAAAAAACATTTAAATTTGAGCAACTATGCAAGTTGCACAGCTATACTTTTAGGAAGCAACCGTGCTTTAATAGCAGGCATCTGTTTTCTCAAACTGCATAGGATATTAATGCAACTTATTACAAGGCAAGAGCCACCCTGAGGCTAACTTTTCCTGCCTTCTCAGCTTTAAGAGCTGCATGCTGTTTTTCAGGGGGAAAAGCAGCTTTGGGGACAGATCATCTCCAAAAAAATGACGACTAATTTTCGATCTTCAAAAAATCTCCTACACATCTTAAATAGGACCTATCTTCAAGGATACTACCTCATACACATCCTGCTCATTTATTGGGAATCAAACAGCACCCCCCAATTCTCTCTACTGAGAATTTCCTGCACAATCAAGAGGCTTCAATTCTATTGCAGATCAGTTTGCAGAAAAACTATTTAAAAACTGTCTCTATCACTGGGGACTGCCCACGGTCTGAGCATGGCCACTGTTCTTTTTCTGCTCAAGATACAATATGAAATGAGCCTAGGCAAACTACCATGAATACATGAACTCTGTTCAATTTAGTGCTTACACTTTAAGAAGTGCTACTTTCTTCCATACCTTTACGCTCATCTCAAGCAGCTTTTCGTTCATAGTGCTGATGACATTCATATTTTTAGTTTGAGACTTGCTTGCTGAGGCATTCATTGGCTTCACAGGCTGAAGCCTGTAACATTAAAAAAGGCACGTTATTTAAGCAGTGCATGTCACACCAACATTACACAGATCTGCAGACTAAAAACAAATACAGCAAGAAATTATGGGAAATTCCTATGCTTCTCTCTCTCGATAAAAAAAAACACTCAGCTCCAAATAGACAAGGCATTTCTGACTAAATTATGGGCTTTATATAGGTGTACTCCAGTTCTCTTTCTACTGTCTTTATTGACTTAAGGCATTCAAGATAAAGAAGCAGTAACATGGGAAATACATCCTGAATAGCATGTTGCAAAAGAAAAGCAAGGTCAGTGCCCATGAGAAAGCAGTAAACAGGAGCAATTACTTTGGTCTTTTATGCATTAATGTTTACACCTGTTCTTAACAAGAACATATTTGTGGTTCTTGCAAAATACCAAGTACTTCTACAGTCCTGGGACAAACATGAATTCTGTCTTACACAAACGGAACTTGTGCCATGAGCTACTAAAAGAGCCTAGTTAAATGCGTCATCTTCATTTGTTCAAGCAGGATTTATATTGCCAATCTTAATATGGGAGGAAAATCATTTTAGCTGCATCTCAGCAAATACCTAATCAGAATCGTCCTGTACTCTGCACGGAGTTTAGCAGATAAAAGCACTGTGAGTTAAGAGGTTAACGGTGCTATTCCTCAGACAGCAGCATCCCAACAGGCAGAGGGAGCTGCAGACAGCTCCAGAAAGCAACTACACATTTTTAGGAGCTAAAGGTTTTAGCTGCAGCATATAAGCTTGCTGCAATTCACTTTAAGGCTCAGGAGCCCAGTTCCACTACAAAAGCAAGCATCCCTGTTTATAAGGCTACCTGTGATCATTTTTTTAATTTCTGAAATACTGCCAATTCCAGTCTACTTAACCAAATTTGACTGAACGACCCTATACACGACCTGCAACTCTGTTTCCTTAACAGCCAGTACTCCTAAGAGGTAGCACTGTTATGAACAGCAGGGCCACACAAGTGCTCTCAGTACCGAACAGATAGATTTATCTGGTGTCAATCATTAAGTTATAGCAGTGATCCCATGTTAGCATGATAAGACGCAGGCCCTGACAAATCCACAGGTCAGAGGAAATTAAGATTGTATGATGCCATATCACTGCAAAAACCAATACATTTCTGCAGCTGGAAAGACAGATCCATGCTCACAGGAAGGAAAAACAAGGCTCACACACCAGCATTGAGATACTTTCTATGTATTTCTCATATTCTCTCACCTGTGCTTAGGAGACAAGGGTTCACCACTCTGCTGAGTTTGAATAGGATACGTTTCAGAGGGTGAAACCCATGCCTGAAGAAGTTTCTTCTTGCCAGAACTTCCTGCTTTATCAGCGAAGCCCTCTGCTGTTGGCTTTTTCGAAGATTCTGCTCTATTACTTTGAGCGTGAGATGGGAGGGAACGAAAGGAAGAGGAGGGTTGGGAAGAACTAGACACAGAGGAACAGGAAACAGAAGGCTCAAAGAAATCACGCTCTGCACTCTCTTCAACACCAATATTTATTTTTAGTTCTTGTCTCTCAAAATAACTATTACATTCACTGGAATGAGATGTCACACCTACGCCAAAGTCAGCTATCTTATTATTTACACTGCAAACATGTACCCTTGCAGGTAGCACGGGTTGTTTGCTAGAATCACAAACATTAGGGGCACTTCCTCCTTCTTGAGCAGACGGAGTTACACTGTCTGCAGGAGAACTCTTATCTGAATGCTCTTTCAGTTCTTCACTCAGAGGCATTAAATCTATAGACTGCTTTCCAGCCTCTAAGATGCTTTTATCATCTGCAGTGACATTATGGTTCTCCTGACAGTCTTCCAGCAGCTCATCATCAGAGCCTCCCTCTAGAATAACTGGAAGACGAGCCAGTTTCAAACCATGATCTCCAGCAGTTGGAATGGCAGACTTCAGATTTGCAAGAGAGTCAAATAAACCATCATCCTCGTATTTTAAATGGCTATTACTGCTATCATCTCTAAGATTTATAGTTGGAGTGATATTTTTTAATGAGCCATTTCTGGGGGGGCATCCATAAGCATTTGAGGGTTTCTCATCATGCAATGGAAGCTCAGAAGCAGATTTTACAGTGTCATCTGAAGAAAGCACACCACCACTTGACTCATCAGTCTGAGAAACTGGCACGCACATCTTCAAAGATAAAGACAGCCTTGGTGCTGGCTTTGGTGCGACAAACGCAGAACTAGCCTCACTGTCAGCCCTCCCTGCATCAGCTTCCTGAGGGGGCAGTGTGCAAACTTTCAAGGTTGGTTTGGTAGGTCCTACTTGCAACAAGGAGTCATTTTTATCAGGAGTTGATTCAGTCTCTAATGTGGGTTCACAGTCTTCCGTTCCCTTTTCACTAAAGATTTCCTGCTTCTCATTTAGCTTGCTCTTAGCAGAAGGTGGCTGTTCAGCACCATTCTCTGGTAAGAGGTTATCATTACACTTTGAGAGAGATGCAAGACGTCTGACATCCTTCATGCAGGTTTCCGTGTTTATACTGCCCATTTCCACATCACCCTGAAGAGCAGTCTCCCTGCTCGGAGTAGAATTTATGCTGGCATTAGAGGATTTTGATGACGAGTTGCACTCCCTTTCCAGTTTGTGAGCAAACCCTGCTCTCTTTCCCATTACGTCTGAATCTGTGAATAACATTTCACTGAAAACAGAGTGCTGTTTTGCAAGTTGCTGCCCATCCAAATCCTCATCGCCTGATGCAACACCTTGCAGTTCTTCAAGGAGAAAGGTCACAGATTTTCTATCGCCTAACTGACTTCTTCTTAAAGGTGTCTCTACCTGAACCTCTGGTGAATCCCATTGTTTCTTAGGAGCCAGGCCAGGGTTGTCAGAAAGGGTGTTTGGAGAGTTTGATACAGTATTTACATTACTAGTTAGAGCCACATCTGAAGAGCTCCCTGAAGCAACATGAATTGAGTGTTTCAGATTACCAGTGTTTTCTATTGAGGAACAGTCTTCCTCACAAGGAATCAAGAAAGAAGAACCAGCAACAGTTTTGAGATCTGGTGAATCTAGTTCCCACCCAAGCTTGCATACAAAGGGGTTAGTGTCATTAAAATGACAGTCAGAATGAAGAGAAGGTGCAGGTGGACAACAGAGATCCAAGGAAGAGCAAGCCTTAGAGCTTTCAGAATCCTGACCCTGTGAGCTCTGCCCCCATTTAGAAGTAAAAGGATTATTACCATTACTAGAGATCTGCATAGAAAGAGATGCTTCAGGAGCAGAAGCTGCAAGATGATGGGATGAAGAGAAATTGGCAATGCTTTCAGAATCCAGTGCTTTGGGTTCCTTGCCCCACTTTGAAATAAAGGGGTTCTTGCTATTCAAAAGCTCTGCAGCAGAAGGTGAAAGAGGAAGAGATGCAGAGGAACTAGCAATGTTTTCAGAGTCTGGCACTTTGACTTTTTGTCCCGTTTTAGAAATAAAAGGATTATTGTCACTACTGATATGGTGTGCAGAAAGGAAAACAGGAAGGGAATCAGGTGCAAAAGTAGGAAGCGTGGCTTTGGTTTCCTCCTCTGAAGACACGCCCAGTCTGCAAAAGGGACAAAAAACTCGCATGTCACTTGCAGATGCAACATGAGGCAGGAACAGACAAGCTTTAGCACCAGACTCCAATTCCTAACACACTGGAGATGAATTAGACTGCAAGAGACATGAAGGGCCTATCTAATAGACTTAATGATATTTAAATGCTTGTTTACATCACACTGGATTTATGTCAGAACACCGCTGCTGCAGAGTTTGCCCAATTAGATTACTGGGTTGTCTGCTTTTAAGCAACTATCTCATCTTTGGCATTCCAAGCAATTTTATTAGTAAGACACATATGCAAGACATTTAAACACGAGAACGCTGCAAATAGGATGTTAAAAGACAGACACAATACACAGCCTTATTAGTAAGACGTTGGTTCTTACATACATATACACACATATATATATATATATATATATGAAAAATATACACATGTGAAAACACACACACATATATGAAGGAAAAGAGCAGAATTTCTGAAAAAGCCTTTGTGTACAAATTCACAGAAACGTACTTTACGTTGCTGTGAACAATGCCAAAAGCAGAAGGGCTCAAAAATTAACTGTTTTGGAGACCATAGCACAGAAGAGAAAAATAGAGATGTTAGAACTGGTATTTCAAATCCTGATTATGTTTCAAACCACATAGCTTAGGTTGAAGAATGTTAGTTTTTGCAAACAATACAGCAAGAAAAGTTACCCCTAGAGTATCTGAAAAGATATCTGCACTCAGAGAGAACTGTTATCTTATCATCACTTACAAGGAATGTCATTATATCAATCTCTTATTCATATGAGATAGAACTCCAAATTACTAGTTACTATCAACGTGTCCAATATCTAGTGTAAAACAAAAAACAATCAAAAAATCAGATACCCTACAGAGTAAAACATCTCTACAGCACACAGCATAACAACTTCAGAAACATCGTCTTGTGATAGGAGGCAGCCTAGTTAAAGCATGCAACTTCTGCACTTTGCTATTGATATCAACAACTGAAACAAACAAGACTGACCTGGGTTTGACAGCTCTAGTCTGTGCAGTCTTTGCTGATGCAGCAGCTTTTTCAGGTTTCCGGTCTTCTTCAAAAGGGTTGAGCGGTTGCTTATTTTTGAAGATTTCTTCTTCATTACTCTTTTCAGAAGGATTTCCTTTGCTTAAACCTGGTGGAATTTCAAGACGTTTGGTCTCTTCTTCACTCGTCTCTTCTGGAACTTTGGTTTCCTCCTCCTTCAAAGTCCTGTCTGGAATACTTCCAACATCACTGTTTTTCACTGTTTCCTTTTTCCCTGTGACCAGAGAGAACAAGGCCGGCTTTTTGTGGTCCATTTTTTTGTTCTCTTTAGTAATATCAACAGTCAGAGGAACACTGGTCTCCATGTAATCTTCACTGCTAAGCAATTTATATGACGGTAAAGTCATAGATTTAAAAGTCTCCAGTGATGCAGACCCAGATAAAAGACTGCTAGGAGATGTTCTTCCTGTTTCTTCAGGCCCTTTAGTAGGTTTGGAAGACAGGTTCTCTTCTGAAGCAAAGAGCTGCTTCCTCCTCAAGTTGTGAGGGGATGGGGAGGAGGCTGGAGTGTTGTCCTTAGGCGTGTTGTTCTCTTCCACATAAACATGACTGCCATTGATACACAAACTAGATTTGGAAACAGGATCACTTTTGGATTTAAGGCCACCAAATAAAGAGAGACCTTCTTTCTTGGTATTGCTAATGGTTATTTGGTTTAGTTGCCTGCTGTCCAAACTTGCTATTTTATGAAATTTAGACACAGGAGAGGGAGAGGACTTCTCTTCAAGGGTGTTTCTGAAGGCTTCTGGAAAAAAATAAATGGCGAGACATTCAAGACATAAGAAAATCCATTGCTCTGACATTCACTACTTCGTCCTCAGTGCTTCACAACTCATTAACTGATCACAAGAGAAGTATCGCAAGAGTCTGGCTATACCAGGCACGTCCAAATCTTTTGGCTCCCTTACTGCCAGAAACTCTCAGTGTACTGGCTCTCACATGAACCTTTCAGTTACCTAAAATCACCACAGATCACTTGCTGTGAAACTGCCCCACCAATGTGTGCAGACATTGCTCGTGCAGCCCCACAGTCTAAGTTATCACAAGGCAAGTTAAGTTGTGAATGTCTAACTGCTTACGTACATACGCACCACCTTGGACAGAAGAGACTTACTACAGATTCGTTCATTTAGAATAATCTAACCAACGTTTCAGGAAGCGTGAAAACTGCAAGCAAAGCTCTGGAGAAAGGGCTTGCACTTTATCAGTGCAACAAGTGCAAACACTCACTGTCTGAGGTTGGAGATGTCTCAGATTCCTCATCATCCCATCTTGACTGAAAGTCACTAGGCCTAAGCCTAACTTTCTCAGTTACGGGCTGATGTGTAGGCAAGACTGACATGGACTGAGAAAGAGAAGTCTTCTGCAGACCAGGCTTGGAAAACAGCGTCTTGAACTTCGATTTCTTCTTTTCCTTCTCAACTGACTCATCTTCGCTGTCAGCTGGGGAGTGACTTGCGCTTGGAACGATTGCTGATGCCGTGTCAGAAAGCCCGCTGCTCCTCTTTCCTTTGAGCTTGTCTTTGAGCTTGCCAAACGTAGAGCGAGGCTTGTCTTTCATGGACAAATCAAACATACTGGCTGTCATGTTACTCCTCATAAACTGGATATCCACTTCAATCTCTCCTCTCTCCTTTTCCTTTTTCCCTGGTTTGGAGCGAAGCTTATACCACCTGCAAAAACAAGGAGATGTATTTTATAAACAAGCTCTTGACAAGCGCAAATAATTTTGAACAACAGACGATACTTAAGAACGGAATAAGCCTATGGTGTAGAAAAAAATAAAAATCTTAAATCTTACAAATATGTCATAATTGTATGATCCTAGATGCCAAAGAAAATAGTTTCTCACCATAAATTACTAGTGAAATTTGTTTTTAAAAATCAAACCAGGAAGAGTTAAAAAGACACACAACATGGAATTCACATACTTCAGCTAAACCACTTCTCCTGCACTTGTCTGGCTTCCTGAAATTCAAAGAGGTTAAGAATTTGAAGTGGGTGTGTAAGAAGGGGCCTCAGAGAACTGACACTGGTACCAGAAAGCTTGAACACATATTCCACACCCTCATACCTTTCATTCCAATTTCTTTTCAGTTGCTGTCTTAATGTTTCTTAAGCTACAGAACCCCTAATCAACAGAACGAGAACCAAAACACACTACGGAACTTCTGGGGCTTTTAATTTACCTAATAAGCTAATAATTAGATAGCATCAGAAACAATATTCATTACAGACAGAACCTTATACATTTCTGAAATACAGTTTCAGAATATTAATGCAGAGCAAATGGGAAAGCACTTAGGGTATCTGAACTGTTAGAACGCTCTCTGCATGCGGCTGTTACACTTATTCAATTACCATTCCACATGTCCTACTTAATAACATTCAAACCACATTAGTGCCAGGGAAAAAAAATATCAACAGTATGTACCAGCATTTTTTTTGTCTAGTGCTAGGAGCTGCAGATTTCCTGACTCCGCAGAACTGATAGGAAAGGCAGCCCAGAAAATACTGGTTTTTTCCTTCCACAGCAGCTAGCAAATTACAATAAAGGAACCACAGCAGGCAAATCTACCTCCTCATCAAATTTGCACTTCAATACTTTCAAGACATAATGGAAGCAATGAAAGACACTAGGAAAAGGCAATTTACTTCAGAGTAAATTCAAGCAAATGACCATTAACTTAAGATTTCATGAAGATAATTCAAGAAATCTGCTATAGAGAAACATATTGGAGGCAAACGAGTATGTTCACACTACAGTTAGATATTCAGAAGTTACAAGACAACAGCATCAGACATTATTACAAGGGAATGGATTTCATAAAAAGATGTCACATTTTGTTAGGATCATCACGTCCCTAAAATCTCACTCTTGAAGTGTAACGTAGGGGAAGTTATGCATTGCCATTTCATCTTAGCTGCAGTAAGGGAAGTGCAAATCTTCTGCCTTTAATGCAGGACTTCACTAACCACTTTCATTCTAGAATATATTTATTTCAAAAGGCATTCCTACATTTTTAAAGTTTCAATGCCAAGACAAAAGTGTTCAGTGGATTCTTTGTCGTCTCTTTAAAGGAAAGAAAAGGCCCTATTTACAGGGCATCCAAAATAAAAACTACACCGTCAACGAAAGGTAACTTAGCATTGACTTCAATATGGCCATCATTTCTAAAGAGGAATTATGCCGCTCCATCCATTTAAATGTGAGTTGCTGATAGTACTGACAAACTCCCCCCCCCAAATTCTTTGACATTTTAAAGTAAAAAAAACTATATATATATATATATATACACACACACATTTTTAACTGCAAACAACTGGCATTTTCAAGCCTTAGAATAGCCTTAGGGTCATATAGCACTCTGAGATGAAATCAGTGACTTCTGGCAAGTGACCAGTATTCTTCAAAGTATTTCTGCTTAGACAGATTTTTTGTAATCATGCAAGGCTCATTTGTAGCAGCTTTATGCTATGCCTGCATGAACAGAATGTCACGGCTACACCTTGAAGTAATTCTAAAAAGGTCATCTTGTGAATAAAAGTCTCCCACAACCTTCCTGTTAAAAAAAAGCCTCCACGCTTCTATGTGAACACATCAAATACTACTGTCTAATACTGCTCACATATAATAAGGGAACATTCTGTGTATTGCAAGTAAATCTTCTATATTCATATGAAGGCATGAGATCCCTTCAGCCCCAGCTTGAAAAAAAGTCAAAATAATTCATTTAGAAAGAGAACCTTGCCTGCATTGCTTTCTTCTTTTCATTTCCTTTTCAACATTGCTAGTAGGGGCATTTGGACACAAAATCTTATTAACTGAATTTATTATACTAATATGCATCTTGCAATTAACATGCATTTATTTTCCAAATAAAACCAGCCCTTTATGGCTATATGACATCACAGCAACTACATAACGACAGAAAAAATGGGCTTCAAACAGAAAATAGGAGGCGGGGGGGCATGGAGGGGAAACTAATAGCTAGAAAGATCTAAAGCTTTCCCAGGACTGTCAAAGTTATATTTTTCCTCAATTAGCTTTTGGCCCAGACAAGAAGAAATCAGCCTGGAAGAACCCTATTCTCTTGCGTAACAGGGATGACTGTCTGAACTTAACTTTGATGACTGAAGGCACATTAGACTCCACAGCGTAAACACGTTAATGCTTGACGCGACTCTTCACAGCCTTTAATGACAGTTACACCATAATTAAGACTTCTCAAGTAGCATTATATGCTTTTGTCAAGAAACACAACACAGATCTTGACTTTGGCCAAACTAGTGCTAACACCTGGATCTGCTCAGGTGAGTTAAAAGAGGAAGATGACTCACCAGCTACCTTTTGAGATAATGTGGTTTGCCACATTACAAATGAACGTTCACGCTGCCCTAATGCTGTCGACTCTTAACAAAACGGTAACTATCCCTCCGATTTTAAAGTAATCCGCAAGTGTTTAGGTTAAAAGGTGCAAGCATGACACAGATCTGGCACTCAGTATTACAGGAAAAGTCTCCCAGTTTGGTGTCTTGCAAACAATAGTTAAGTGAATCCATACAACACCGAGTTATCTACTCTCACGCATGACTAGGCTGCGTATTCGTTAAGAAACACGTATAAACAGCTTGTATAGTACTTCCATTCACTACCAAATCAAGAAGGTGTTTCAAACGCACTAAGTTTCTTTAGTCAAATTCATTGTTCTGAGCATAAATTGTCAAATATTTATATGCCAACGTTAACAAGGAAACCGGAGCCCAGAGCAGGGCTGTCCTGAAAAAAAGCACCAGGTACGTTTCCCCGGGCTATTAGAGCCCCTCCAAAGACCAAAGCAGAAGCGCGCCCTGGCCAAGCAGCCGCGGGGGCCAGGTCCCCCC